ACGACTAATAGAGGCGAAGCAGTAAAGAAAAATGTTGCAAGCACGGGAAATAGTATTTAAACTATTTTCACTCGTACGAAGTTGATTTTGTGGCGTCGAACCTTGGACCAGGCATATGGCTAAGCAATGAAATCGTACAGGAGGGTACAAGGAAGAGGGGCAGCCACATTAGGTAACACAGAGTCGTTCAGGAGAGTGTCAGGAAGAGGTGCAGCAACCGCAGTTAAGGAACGGCTGGGACGAACAAGGATAAGCGAATCAAACTCGTGAGCCTTGTTAGGGTTACACTGGTTAAGGCGACCCTTTACAAGGCTTGGAAGCATGTGGGTAACAAGCCATTGGACGTGGAGAGGGTCATTAATTATACGTATATTTTCTACTTTGCCGAACTTTAGCGCGAGAACGGTTTGTCCAAAACATATGAATTTGGTCTTATTCAATGCAGGATTAAGTGCCCTTTAACCGTCATGAAGACCACTTTTCGATAGGGTAAGTCCTTTACGCGGTATAACCGGAAAACCGAAAAAACGCCGCTTTCGGGGGCCCCCACCACTTAAGCACAACTCCGTCGAAGTCGAAAACTTAGGAGAGTCTTAATGGGCAACCAATGAAGCCATTAAAGCAAAAAAATCTTTTGTATGAATTATTTCCGATTTAATCAATTTTTGTGTTTAATTCTACTGGGCTATATTCATTCTTTAAGGCCTTTGCCATAATTATGACAAGCGAGCGAACGAGCGCGTTTTAGTCAAAGCCTGTATTGGAGGAAAATCCACAACGGCATTTTGATCAAGTACTAGCTTTCCGCCCGCGGCTTCGCGAGCGTGATCTACATTATCTACATATTTAACGGAACCCAATTTTTTTCCAAAATAAAATCTAGCCTATGTTACTCGTGGATAATGTAGCTTTCGAATGGTGAAAGAATTTTTAAAAACGATCCAGTAGTTTTTGAGCATATTCATTACAACCAAACAAACGAACAAAATTTTCCTCTTTATAATATTAGTGTAGATGTCAAAGGCCTAAGACGTCACTTCAAGTCCGTCGTATGGAAGAGTGGCCAGGAGTGAGCACTCATCGTAAAGGTCCTGCTCCAACGCACCACGCGGTTGAACTGGCTCGTGAATGGTGCAGTGGCCCGGAGAATCGGTTGGGTCTAGGTTCGTTTCCTGCTTGGGCTCAATTAAATTTAACTAGCTCGCCCGGCGGACTTTGTAGTAAAAAAAATCGCCAATGTTCCTCAGGGCTATTGTAGGATTTTAATCGTAAAATAATTTTTCAAATCGGTTTCGTAGTTTCGGAGCCTATTCTCTTCAAACAAACAAATTTTTCCTCTTTATAATATTAGTGTAGGAACTGACCGAAGAAATAATGAAGATTTTTTTTTAAGTTAGACGAGATTTTATTATATTTTAGAAGACGTGTAAAAGAAAAACATGGGGTTTTATATTTTCCCCAGAAATTTTACCACATTACTTTAGTGCATTTTATATTATTTTTGTCTAAAAATACGCGTAGAACTTTTAAAGTCAATGAAAACTATTTTGGAATGATGACATTGATCACAGACATTATTACATATTAACTAATTATCTAGACAAAAATAAAATTATATCTTACGAAAATGTACCCCAAACAAACTCTAGATAATTACTTGAATTATCAGCTGAATTATACACCTAATTGATTAATAAATTAGTTCATTTATAATATCATTAAAATTAGTGCAAAACAAACTAAAAAATATCTATGACTGCATACTTATTGCTTTATTTTAATACTGCGTCGTAGGAAAATTTTCCAATTAGGACTCAACTTATTATAAGTAAAAAAACTTCTGTAAAAATATGTAGAGTTAAGAACTCTATACACCAAGCCCGCCGACAGAGCCCGGTGGCTTGATGTTGGTGGCTTTATTTATTGAAAGGAAAAAAAGAAACATGTCTACGACTTATACTTCCTATGACTTGTGACAACACAATATATTATCAAAAGTCGTCAACTCATGTCGGTGAGTCGGCGGATTTGATGTGTACACTGCATTTTACATTTTAACATGAAACATTTTTTACCCGTATCCATCCACTGAACTTCACCGGTATATTTACTCAAAAAACTCTAGCAAAACTACATAAATTAGTGCACATCATAGAGTTCAATTTTCAACTCCACTCAATTCTCGTTCAAGATTCACAAAACTTATCCACAACACCCTATTCCTGCGCTCGCGCGTTTAGAAAGTGCGCCGGCGTCGTTTTTGTCTCTTTTTCATCGGTAAAAAACGAACGAAAGGCGACTATGGTCTGGCGAGAGCTGAGATGCAAATAATTCGTTTGCGAATAGTGTTTGGACTGATTTAACTATCAATGCAAGTTTTGATAAGGTGATTGATTTTTTTATAATTCAATTCAAATACAGACTTTGATTGAGATTATAATTTAATTTGAATCCAGATTAACTTATCTCTAAGGTATTAGTTACAATAATTTAAAAAGTTTCAAAAGTGCAAATGGTAAAAGTGCACTTGTTGAAAACATTAGGAGATTAAAATTTCTTAGCAAATAGAGTCGCTTCTTTTTCAAGTTGTTTATTTAAAACATTAGGGCTGCGTTGCGCCATCTTACTTTAACTTTGACAAACATCAAAAATCTGTCAAACTCCATACAAAAATCACCGGTTATCGTCAAAGTTACGGTCAAAGTTAGGTGGTGCAACTCAGCCTTGGAGATTCAGAAATTGGAACTAAATCGGTTGTAGTACCTAAATCGGTTATAGAAATTAATCTTGAATCGGGCGACAAACAATAATGAGTAGAACACAGCATATTATGTTATTTAGACCTGATAGTACTTATTACTTTAAGACAAGGTAATTATCTAGACCTGATTACTCTTAGACAAGGTAGTTGGTGTGATACTGAAATGATCATATTATCATAATTTACATGTTCAGAAGCATTAACAGTGATTTGCAAGTACCAAATCTAGTTGCAAGTTAGAATGCTATTAGACACAATTTTATCACCTGCTTCTATCACTTAAACATACATTTTTGAAGTATTTGCTTAATCATATTAGTTAAGAAGCTTTATTTCGAGACCTTTGCTTAATTTGACGACATCCCGCCCCACAATCCAAGCTCCAAGAACTAATTGTGTCTTAAAACTAGGTATCATCTCATGATCTAACACACATAATAGCCAGTGCAATGAATCGAAGTCATCCCAACTACTTAGTTAATAAAGCCTAAGTCTTCATAACAATTATAATGATGTAAACTTCGGTATAGCTATGAGAAAATTTAGACAAAGCGCGTTTAACCTAGACCTCAGGCGACAATGGAGTTCCCACACTTGGCGGCAGGAAGATTAGATAAAAAGCTCGTTTTCACTTGCGTGAGCTTATGTAAGCTTTGTTATTGAGCTTTGGAGGGCACGCTTTGGGTGTAAGTATCGAATTACTGGAGTTATATTGTAGAGAAAATGTAACAACTTTGACAATGTGTTTCTAACGCCCTTATTTACAAACGTTTGCTTAAGTGAAGCAAATCGAACGCACAGCGTTGAATAGAGCTCTGTGATTGGTTCGTGTGTCACCCTGTGCGTCCACGCGCACTGTGAGACCTCATAGTTTGTGAATACGGGCGTAATTATTTTCATAGCGTCAGTTCATAAGATGTGTGTAATATTAGTGACTTTTAAAACAGGCTTATGTCCAGTTTTAGAAGACATACGTCAATTTTCTTGTAAGAAAAATTGGCTTAACTTTAGACTAAGATTTATCTTTGACTATCAATTTGTTTGAGATTGATTAATAGCTGCTTCTTAATCTAGAGTTAGAATGTTCCTGAACATGACAAATATAATACATCATAGCTTTCACACCAATCTGAAGTCTATTTCAGCTCTATACTTATATGAGTTATTTCAGCATTATAAGTGTACATAACTAGCTCAAAGGCTTTGTAAAACTATCTATTATAAGTTTAAGGCTGAGTTGCACCACCAAACTTTGACCGTAACTTTGACGATAACTGGTGTTTTTTGTATGGAGTTTGACAGATTTTTGACGTTTGTTAAAGTCAAAATAAGGTGGTGCAACTCAGCCTTAGGGTAGATTATAAACAAGAGTAAATATTAATCTCAAAATAAATCGTCAGTTTTGACATATTCCCCATACTGAAACTGTCAATGTGCCAGTTAAACCAGGAGTTATTCTCGGATAAAGTTTGGTCGAATCGGGCCTAACTAAAAGGCTTTATAAATTGTTTGTGGACTGAAAACCAGCTTTCTTTTTATCTGTCATAAGCACTTAAACAGCACCCTTTTTAAGATGGTTTTTCAGCGGTTCTATAACACTTTCCAAGCCAACAGCATAATTTCACAACGAAAAAGTAGTTGCTTGAAAACACTCGGACAACATTCCGTCGGCAAAAAAAACGCTCGACTTACGTAAATAGGTGCAATCGGCTACTTTCGCAAAATTAGAACTGTGTAACCAATAAGATAATAAACATTTCGATTACTTTCAATAAGAATCGAGTTAGAATTCGATTTGTTAGCCGAATCTTCGGATTCGGATAATCGGAACAACTTTTGATTGGTGTCTGAATACGAATTTACGGTTTTTGGTCAATGGATTAATTATCTTTTTATAATACTGAATTTTTCACTATTATACACGTCTTTACAGTAAAAATCATACTTATTATAAAGTGTTGAAGTTTTCAAATACAATCTAATAACGTAGGTTGACATTGATAAAGTTTTAGACAACGCAGAAGGCCGAATGTGCACTGAAAACGTATATTTGGAGGTTATAATCCAATTTACGTTAAATTTTCATTTTCCACCACCCGTTTACAGAAGTCAGAAATGCTTAATAATCCACACAATCTTCCTAGAAATGGAACTTCCTTGCTTCCCTACAATTATGCTGCAATTAAAGCATTTTACACGAACAATGTAAAAATGTATTCACAAAAAAAAAACCACATACCTCTACCGGAAAATCGTGGCCAACAAAATCACGTAACCCCTTTTTGCGAGAAGAAATAGTGAAACTTTCTAACAGAATCCACTGTAATCTAGCAACTGGGCACACAGGTAACACTGGCACTTGTTATTTATTTTTAAAGTTTTTTGTTCGCGCGTCGCCGCGACCGCTCGCGACCGCGTCTGAAACTTAAATGCGTTTGAGTGGAACAGGGCTGCGCCCGCGCACCGCTCGACCGCCACACATACATACGCTTATGTAAGTAACGTCCTTATGTAAAACGTATATAATTTGAGCGCAGGACGGAAAAGCGTGATTACAGTTGAATTTCGTGTTCGTGGGTCTGATGACACTGGGTTTTTAATTAGAAAACTGATTTTGTTGGCGGGATTTATTCGCTTTTGCAGTAAACGGGTTTTTGGTCGTAGAAATTTCTTGTATTACAAGTTTTAGAACAAAATGATTTGTGAGTCTTCAAATAATTCGTAATGAACGGATAATAAATAATTTTATCTGGCCACATTACATCTGTATTTTTTTTTATCCACAACAAGGAAGCTCTTGGCCTGTATCTCACCTGATGGTAAGTGATGATCAGGCCGAAGGTGGACTACTATTACTAGAATTGGCTTCGTTCTTTTGTTTGTTTCAGCCAGTTGACGTCCACTGTTGGAAAAAGGCCTCCCCAAGCCAAGAATCAGGGTATGTTGTTGCAATTGGTACAATAATTATCATGGTTGAATTCATTTCCAAAACAACATCCTTTTGCTTAGTTAAAAGTAGATGTGATTGTTATTTGATTCTTATAAGTACAACAATAGGAAACGTCACAATTTTGAACACATTCTTGATTAACGCAGTTCTAAGTCCTCAATGCTAGAGTCATCCCAAAAATTATATTTAGTTACTAATAATAATTAATCTAACATAAAAAAAGCATCAATACGTTAATGCCATTTTAAACATACAAAAACATGAAACTTATCTTCATCCAAATGAATTAATTATACGTGTAATTAAACTTTGAAAATAAACTGATTGGTTTGATTGGAATCGGAAGATCTCTGCGATCGATCGAAAATCAAGGTTACGCTGATTGTAGAAAGCAATTATCGATTTAGCTTCGATTCCAGAACGAGTGGATGAGTCTTCGCCAATTGATTTTGATTGGTGGAATTTAATCAGCTTGTTTTTGGGGAAATTTTCGAAAAGCAACAAAAAAAAAGTAATCAATATTAGTCAGGAAATTTTGGAAAAATCATTAGAAATATCAAGTAGGTACTTCCCATATTTTTCCCATGTTTTATATGGATTGTCACAAATGGACAACCTTTAAGAGCTTAAGCATGGGTTTGATAACTGAACCGTGGCGAAAGCTTCACGTACCCTCTGAAGGTTTTTTTTAGGAAAACCAAGTATATTTGTCAAACTTCTAATAAGATAACCAAACTGCAAAAAGCTAAGTAACTACATAAGTTATTTAGAAATTAAACATTAACGCCCGTATTCACAAACGATCCTTGCTTATGTGAAGCAGCAAATCGAACGCACAGCGTTGAATAGAGCTCTGTGATTGGTTCATGTGTCACCCTGTGCGTCAACGCGTACTGTGAGATCTCATAGTAATGTTTGTGAATACGGGCGTAAGATTGAGAGATCAGTGATCTTTTCTAGACAATTAAACACGTCCGAATATAGCTAATACTGCCTTCAATTTCATAAAGAATAATATGGGCCAGTTACAATTAAATGTGTAAGTACTTCAATTAATAATCTTGTCTGTATTAGTCACCAAATGTTACTAAATAGTGTAAAATTAATGTATAATAGACAAAAAATAACAAGCCAAAACAATCTAGTTTAAAACTAAATCGAATTATCCACAATTTTATTCATACGACACCTCAAATACTCGTTGACATGCATCACAGAACGTGCTGACGCGTTATTATCATTTTATAAATAAAACAAACCTGCAACAATTTAAAAATGAAAATAATAACAACAAATTTTATACTACAATGGTATTATAAAGTATGATGGAACTTTCCAAGCAAAAGACATCAACGAACTAGAACTTTCCTTGAAGAAAGTTGGTGCTATATCATTTGAGTAACTGTGCCGCTTGCAGGGTATAGTTTAAGTCAGCCTTGGCTTAGGTCTGCCTAGATTATAGTTTAGATAACATTGATCTTGTGTCTCTGTACCAGAGGTTCTAGGTTCCACTATCAGTTGAGACATACACAATACTGAGAAAAATGGTTGTTTGACTCTTTTCGATAAAACTACAATTTTAGTTTTTTCTAGCAATATTTGTTAATTTAACTTCTCTGCCCAAAATTCCTTCTACTCACGAATTTCAAGTGTGTTATAATAACGACTAAATAGATACTGAATTATAATACCAAGATACAATTAAAATACAGCTACAATTTATAACCTACCTATAGACAAAATTTTACTCAAAAACAGAGGATTTTTTTATAAAATGGAATAACTATTTGTCGACACCTTAATACTTGTTAGTGTGTTATCAATAACCATGAATGATTTTCTTGTCTTATCATTGATTAACAACCTGCTAATAAGAGAGTCTATTAAATTAGATACTTTTTAGACAAAGAGACACTTTTGAAGTGCTTTATTCTGGCTTGTTATTAACGCAATGAATTGCTTCTTTGTGAGTTTTTGTTTATTTTATTTTTTAATTTATTTAAATCCTTTATTAATATTTTTTCCAACAACAATGTACTTTTATAAAAAGGGAAACCTGTCATTGACTGTACCACAGGCTGTACTATCAGTCATGCCTGTTTTCACCATCAATCCCTAATTTTTAAGCGACCCCTATAGTAACAAATAACAAGAATTTTGTTTACATAGGAGTCACTTAAAAATTAGGGATTGATGGTGAAAACGGGCATAAATCTTATATCTAACATTTTCAATGTATCGCTGTTGGTTTCTATAAATAAATAAATAAAGAGTTAATTATATAATTCGGGAAAATTAGTAACATTTTCTTGCTCTTACATACAACACGCTGCCCGTAACCATAATGCGCTAATCTTTCCTAACTCAAATTTTAATTAGCTCGAAACTGATAAAAATCAACAAATGCAGAATTACGATACCAAGCCAAAGTAGTATCATCCAAATTTTAACGCGATTGCAAAACTGAGCTAAAAGATTACTAAAGTCAGCATTTGTTCAATATTGCACCATTGAAGTAATTAAAATTGAAAAGTGGAGAACAAAAAGTGATGGCACAAAGACAGGTGGATGTAGCGTCGTCTCGCTCTAACTTGAGGGAAGAGGCGTAAGGCTGTCTCGTTCAGTCGGAAGGCGATAGTTAATGGACAACTGTAACGGCCGTTTTTCGTAACTGACTTTTATTTGTCAGGGGTTCTCAAACTGTTTGGGAGTTAATAAAACTAGTGCTTAGGCTGAATAATATCATTTACTCCTAATTTATAATGTACGAGTATCTAATGATTTGACTAAACCTATCTTACAAAGTGAAATATTATTCAATTCAATCATTGTTTGAGTGGATTTGAAACCTACTTTAAAATTGACAAATTGGTAATATGAATTAATTATCATTTTAGTCAATGAAAGCCTATTTACTGGACGTAAACCCCTCATCGCATCATTTTCCGCTTTATCGGAGATTTTAGGATGTTGATCAGGAAGTCCTCCTACGCTACATTACCGAAACGTAAATTCCACTCAAGAACTTGTTTACTTCACTATTTAATAGATCTTTTTGGATCAAGAACCACCATACAAAGGATTAACATCACACAAACTATAATACCTACATAAAAAGATATCATCAGCCTCAGGATATCCACTGCTGAACACAAACTTTCCAAAATAATTTCCAAGCTTGCTGGCTAGAAGAGGCTTGCAACCAGCAGCTCCTTACATTCGATAAAGACATCTTCCACTTTTAGGATACTTAAAACACAGCTTGAAATAAAGTTAATTTATTAAAGCTTAGCTTTTACCCGCGGCTTCACCGGCGTGAAATTTACGAGGGCGGCAGGCGTTCGCTTGTTTTGAAAATTAAAATTGGCAAAACAGAGTAATATGACTTCTTTTTTCAACGCTGCACACTCGTCGGTCGTAATTGACTCCCACACAGCCAAGAGTTAAGCCTTCAAGTCGGTCTTCGATAGTTTGTCACATATCGTCATAATTTATAGCCTATATGTTATTCTGGGTTATAAACAATAATACTGCAAAGTTTCATTAAAATCCGTTCAGTAGTGTTTGCGTGAAAGAGTAACAAACATCCAGACATCCAGACATCCCAAACTTTCGCATTTATAATATTAGTAAGATAGTAAGACATTGCTATCACATAAATCAGTTACAGTAATTACAATTTCTTCTTCCCAAGACCGAAGTATGACAACGACATCTCTTTTCGCCTAGACACACTTAGGGTCGCTGAGTCATATGAGTAAGTCAGAGTAAGTAAGTAATTATAATTTACTAGCTTTCCGCCCGCGGCTTCGCCCGCGTGAAATTTTGTCTGTCACAGAAAAACATTATCGCGCGCGTCCCTGTTTCAAAAATCGGGATAAAAACTATCCTATATCCTTTCTCGGGACTCCAACTATCTCTATGCCAAATTTCATCAAAATCGGTTCAGTGGTTTAGGCGTGAAAGCAAGACAGACAGACAGACAGAGTTACTTTCGCCTTTATAATATTAGTATAGATTCTCCAAAGAAGCCAAAGCTGGGGGTAATTCCCTGCAAAGTTTGAGCATTACAGGCAGCAGGTCGAGCGCGCGCGCGATAGTTTATCGGTACGTGCTGACTCGTGCCACGATTGAGGCACTTCTCCGAAAGAACAGTAGCTTTATTACAGCAGTACAAAGAACTGCTGGTGTTTAAGAAGCAGCAAAAAGAGTTATAATAATTGAACATGAACACCAATTGGAACCAAAAAATTTGCTAGATGTCTGAAAGAAATTGTTTTTAACCGATTACAAAAGGAGGTTCGCCATTTGGTTGGTATGTTTTTAGCAATAGAACAATCTAAAATACGCTAGTTGTCTGGAGTAATAAGTTACAGAGAATAAGTGTCGGCGCAAATGGGCCACCGAGTCACAGACCACAGCCACCAGTGGCCAGCGACGGCGACTTAACACACTTT